GGGAGTTGCATCGAGGGCCTCACCCGGTCCGGCCCAGCAGCGTGGCGTGGTGCAGGGGTGCGCGGCCCCGGCTGTCTCTTTGGTTCACGTCCGCTCCGTTTTGCAGAAGGAATTCGCACACGATCAGGGAACCCTGCGGAGCCAGGGCTGCTCAGAGGAGCCGAGGAGATGGGTCCCCACGGAAGGAACCTGGCCCCACCAAGGACAAGGGGCCCCTCTTTGGGGCCCAGAGAGCAGGTGGAGGGTTCAGAGGCAGAGTGCCCGGGTGTCGCCCGCGTTCCGCGCGCTCACCCCCAGCACGGCCTGCACCAGTGGCGTCTTGCCCTCATCCTCGGCGTCTGCCCAGTTGACCTCGGCCCCCTGGGCCAGCGCTGCGGCCAGCGCTGGGAGGTCGCGGGTGCGCGCTGCGCGGTGCGCCAGAAGTCCAGGGTGCAGCTCACGCACGTCCGCCAGGCCCCAGGCCTCAGCCTCCGCATCGCCGTCCACCTCCCCGCTGGACTCCTCGGACTCTGCGCCCTCTGTGGGGAGGGGGAGGTCAGGGAAGGCGACCCTGCGCAGGGTTGGGGTGTCCTGGGGCGGGCAGAGGTTGCGATCGTGGTGGGGAGGTGGCACCCACCCTCCTCGGCGACGCTGTCCACCATGGAGCCCGCGCTGAAGGCCAGAACGTCTGAGCTGCCATCGGAGCTGCCCCCCAGGCCACTGTCACTGCTCAGACCTGCAGGTCCCGCAGCCAAGGGGGTCCTGAGCATGGACGGTCCCCCATCCTCCCAGGGCCCTGGGGGAAGGTTGGACTCCCACCCACCCTCCGAGGGACTCCCCTGGGGCAGGATCAGCTCCTATGAGGGGCCAGAGGCAAGCCCCACCCAGGCTGGGAGGAAAGGAGAGAAAACCAAGCAAAAGCTCTGCCCGGCCTGGAAGCCCACCCGCTGGCCACCGGAAGGCCCGGCGGGAAGCACGGTTGGCCACACTGTGCAGTGGGCCTTCTGCGCCGTCTGTGGCCAGGACAGGCTGGAAGGTCTTGCCAGCAGACCTGCTCTGGGCTCTCGCCAACCACTGGAGAACTTCTTGGGGAGGAGCAGTCTCGACTACGGCAGTGCCTGAAGGGGCCACAGGCTGAGGGCCGGAGTGCCAGCGCCCTCTGCTGCCTGTGTCACCCCTTGGTGCACACATGCTGTCTGCAGGTGTCACTCCTCCACTGCCCCAGCCAACAGGTCAGTGGCCACGACGGCCTGTGCCCTGGGATGCTCCAGCCCGGCAAGTCTGCCCACGCCCAGGCGCCCTTCAGGGCAGCCTCACCTGGCTCCACGCCTGGCTGGGCTGCAGGGTGGGCAGCAGGGGAGGAGCCCTCCCAGCACTTACTGCGTGGTCCGGCCCTGGCAGCCCCCGTGTCAAAGTAGGAAAAGAGCGAGTCCAGCTCGTCTGGGCAGAAGAGGGAGTCCCGGCGGAATTTGTGCTCCAAGGTGCCCGCTGCAGGAGGTGGGCGCGGTTTCAGATGGGACCCCAGGCCGTCCTGGGAGTCTGAATGCTCAAGGCACCTGGGATCCCACCGTCTACCCTGCCCCTGCTGGGCAAGCCCTCTCCCCAGGGAGCCGAGGGGCAGCTGTGCAGCCTCCCACCTGACAGAGCAGCCATGCAGGGCAGGACCGGCTCCAGCCGGACCTTGCGTCGGGGGGTGGGGGGCCGGGGGGAGCTCTGAGGCCCCGGGTGCTTCTGAGCCCGCCAGCGCCTCGGGGCCTCCCGGGTGGGCAGCTTCCGCAGAAATTTTTTTTCCACGTATTTGTTCTTGATCCAAGCCTCCTTGTCCTGCCTGAACCGGGGTGAGCGTGAGGCTGTGTCTGGGCTGGGGCTCCCTAGGCCAGGCCGTACCCGCCTCACCTGGGGCTGCTGGCCGTGGGCTTCCGGCTGCCGGGGCCCTGGCCCTGGGCCTCATAAATCCGGTTCACGGTGCTGTTCCCCAGC